CGGGGGGCGGGTTCCCTGGGCGGCCCCGGGGGGAGGAACGTCCCCTGACCTACTGCAGAGCTCCTCCCCAAACTGTCCCCAGCAGGCATGGACCCAGAGCTGTGTACAGGTAACCAAAGAAAACGTGACCCCTGGGTCAGGCCACAGCTCACCTGTTATCCATAATGGACTCTTTTCACAGCCTCATAATGAGCTGGGTGTTATTGCCAGAGAAATGTTAATATAAATATTATACATTATATTATTCAATACATATTATTCCATTGACATATTATTACACTTATTTATTACACTTACTTATTACACTTACTTATTACACCTTACACATTATAATTACACCTTACACATTATCTAAAATATTTTCAGCTGACCTGTATCTCAGGTAAAACACAGTGATTTCATTTTCTGCAGATTTTTTAATCCCTTTACCTCCTCCTCCCTCCCCTTTTCTAAGTTGGAAAACTTTTCTGAGGATCAGCCAGCTAACCTCACCTCAGCCAGGAGTGCCTGTACCAGGGAAATCTCTGGAGTGTTGGATTCTCCATGCTCCTGGGGGAAGTTACAAACCTGTGCAAGCTTTTGAAAGCTCAGAATTCACATTCATGAAGACAACAACTAAAAGCAGTTACACATCAAACCACATTTGCTCCCAGACGTGAATTCCTGTTGGGTTTTTGGTCACAGGCAGCCTGGGAACACAACTTACAGTTTCTTAAAACCTCCCTGGCACTGTGGTTGTGTGGAATTAAAGGGCTTCCTTCTGCTCATCTGATTTATTAGTCACTTGTGACAGCTTCACTGGGCAAGAGGACATCCGAGGAGCAAAGGGGGCAGGAAATGGGATTATCTGGACATAGAGGCATTGAGAAATTCATTCACTGCCAGCCCCACACTGTGCTTAGGATAAAACTCATTTTATATTAGTTTTAAGGGCACCAGGGGAGCCCTTACAGCCCACAGGTCACTGCAGGCTCAGACATCTCTTCAATTCCAGCACCCCTCTGCAACCACTAACAAAACAAAGCAGTTGCTTTTGTTTTTAATGCATCATGTTCATCATAAATCATTACATGAGGGAAACCTTGAAATATGAAAGCACAGAAGGGTTCTCTCAAAACACAAGAAACTGTAAGCAAGGCAACCGTGTAGGTTTGGATTTATGGGGTTTGATTTGGGCTTCTTCTCCTTTCTGATCAGTTCAGGTATTCCCCAAGCCCCAGCCTGCATTGAATACTAATATACTGAATCTGTGCCTTCCTCACTCAGGGCTTAAACTCAATCTAATTATTGTTAATTTTGGCTGTTTCAGGGAGTACAGAGAGAAGTAATTTACCTTTCCCTGCATTTTTTTCATTGCATAATGTGATGATGTCAAAGCAGAGGGTTACAGCCCTTTTCTTAAGGCATAAATTCTCCTTGAAAATAGTTTGTCTCTCTTTGTTGCCTTAATCAAGGAAGACAGAAAGGATGAGGCAGGATCAGAGATCAGCACCAGCCCTGCTGTGAAAGGAATTAAAGAACCTTCAGATAAGCAGTAAGAACATGACAATAAATATCTCTAGCTATAAATTCCAGACACAACTTTCTCCATTTCAGGTCTATTCCCACTTCTTTTCACTGAATTTGCACAGTAAGAGCTCTTGTCCTTATATTTATGTCTCTTCAAGCAGCACAGGACCATGGTGGAATCCTGTCCAGGGACATCTGCAGCTAGAGCAGGGTGCTCAGAGCCCCATCCAACCTCCCCTGGGATGGTTCCAGGGATGGGGCAGTGACCACCTCTCTGGGCAGCCTGAAAAAGGTGTCTACTTACTCTCTGCTCTCCCAAATGCTTTTTCTTTAGGTCCCACTGGCAGGCTCTCAGTGATGGGGAGCAGGGTACAGAGCATTGACCCCACGCACAGGATAAATGACAGAGACTACATGGGCTGGATGGATTTTGGCCGCCGCAGTGCTGAAGAATACGAGTACTCTTCCTAAAGAACAGCAAACTATAGCAACAGGGGAAAAAAAATCACACTCTCATGCCTGTACAGAAAGAGAAAAATCAATTTGTCCTTCTCCTTGAATCAGTGTTTTAAAATAAATCACTTATTTGATGTAAATTTGTCTGTAAGACTCTGCAATGCAATATATACATATGTAGAATTTTCCAAAAAAAAATGTTTTCTTTCTTTTGTGGTTTCTCATACACTGATACTATATTAAAATTATTTCACTTATCCCTTCTTGTCCTGTCACCACATGTTGCTGGGTGTTTTACTATGAAGAAAGAGGCAGGAAAATGCCTTCCCTTTGGCAAAGTAAATGTATTCCATGCATTGAGTGGTCAAATGAGCCATTTCCAGACAAATCCTGCATCAATCCCAACAGCTGGGAACTCACAGCCTGAGTCAGCGTGGGGAGAAGGGGGGAATCAGAGAATCATTGAGTCTTTGAGGCTGGAGAAGACCTTTAAGATCATTGAGTCCAGCCATTAACCCAGCACAACTGAGTCCACCACTAAACCATGAGGCTGTGCCCAGCCCTTACCTGAACACATGTGTTAATAGGAAAGAATTTGTCACAGAAAGGGAAGAGGCAGGTGAACATCTCAGCAGCAGTTTCTGCAGCAGTTAATAGGCAAAACCAACGCGTAGAGAATAATACATGGGAAATATTTGTGCTAAAACAACATTCTACCAAACCCAAGAAGACTGGGAAACAAATCAAAGTGGTTATGCCAAGGGCTGAGCACAAAACTGTGCTGAGGTTTTGTTTGTTCCCAAGAGCAGCTGGGAGAGCAGAGGGCACTGCAGAAATCCACAGGGACCCAGAGACTTGAGCAACGGGGAATTTCCTTCTCTAGGAACACCAAATCTCTCCCTTTCTGTGAATCTCTTCTTGAAAACGCAGAACTGCTTTGCTGCATCAACATTTCATCCTCTCAAGCTCCTTCTAGTCAACCAGCTTCCAAGCCACTTAGCCTGGCTTTTTCCAGTTCCTTTCCAAATCTAATGAGTCCCTAAAGACCCAAATCCTCCCCTTTCTCACAGGAAAACAGCCCAAAGTGCCCACAGCCTCCTGGTGCTTGGCTGGGAGGGGAGTTTCCCAGCACTGCCAACTCTCTGACATTTAACTGAGCTTTACTCTCATGCCTCTTCACAGAAGCACGTGTGTAGGGGCTAAACAAACGCTGGCAAAATAGCAAATTAATCTCTTTTTGTATTTAAAGACAGGTGGTTTTCTCCATGAGCTTGATTCTGTTAGTTCTGAAATTAATTTAATGACACTGGGCCAAAACAGGTGCTGGGCAAACCTCCCTGAACAGTGCAGAACATGGCAAACCCAGTGCAAAGGAGCAGGGAGGAGCTGCTCAGGAAGGTGTGTGGCTCCCACATTCTGCTGCACCACCAGCCCCCCACCCTCACCACATTTGGGGCAGCAGCAGGGGACATGGGACACCCCACTCTCCATGAACTTGATTCTGTTAGTTCTGAAATTAAGTTAATGACACTGGGCAAACCTCCCTGAACAGAGCAGAACATGGCAAACCCAGTGCAAAGGAGCAGGGAGGAGCTGCTCAGGAAGGTGTGTGGCTCCCACATTCTGCTGCACCACCAGCCCCCCACCCTCACCACATTTGGGGCAGCAGCAGGGGACATGGGACACCCCACAGCCAGATGTTCCCAGCTGCAGCCCAGCACTGCACCTTCCAGCGAGCTCCAGCACCACTAAAATTCTCTTTAAGGAAATAAAACCCAGTCTTGGCTGTGGGCTTGTGAAAGCTTCACTCATTCCCACCTTCCTGTGTCAATGGAACAGAGATTGGATTCGGCACAGCTTGAAACCTATTTCAGCAGCACAAAAATCTCTCTAATCTTTTCAATGCAAAAACTATCAGCTTCCTGAGCCTGGGACACTCACACTGGAGCTCGCTGCCCACGTTACAGCCAAGGACGTTGCTAAACACCAGTAACTTTCAGGCCTCTTCTTATTTTCCTTGCTATTTTGTGGTCTCAATTGGCTTGTTAGCTCAGTTAAAGCAGGGCTGAATGGCACCCAGCAAGATGCTGGAGCACAGCTGAACAATGCCAGTTCTTCAGTGTCAATATGAGCTAGAGGCAGCAGAAGATGCTGTCTGTACCAAAGGCAGGCAGGACACACCTCACTGGCATTGCTGGCTTTTCAGTTTGATGTGGAGAGCTAAAAAAAAACCATATTCAGGAGGTTGAGAGCAACTTCTAAACCTCTGTGCACTACAGCATTATGTCGTAGGGCCATCCAGTGCTCTAGAGACAGGAAAAAAGAAGGGGGGAAGAACCTTAAAAGGCTGAAACACCCGTCTTGGCTCTCCCAAGAACATTCTGTGTGTCCACAGCCCAGTCTCAGACACGGAATCCCCAGCACCTCGCCCTCCTCTCACCTCCAGCCCAGCGTTCAGAGGTGGGTGGTCACATTCCTTGCTGTAGCGTGCTGAAGATGCACCCAGTGGGGTCTCTTGAGATACTCTGCTACTGCAAGGGTGGAGGAGCATTATAGAGCAGAGGCAGCAATTCATCAGCCACTTGGCCTTCTGAGGCTCAGTTTATGCAGTTCAGTTCTGATTTGAAATCATCCCAGGGCATTAAATACATTGGCTGAGTTTCCAGATAGCTCGTGCAGCCTTTGTTACCCCATAGCATAAGTTACTGTCCTGAAGGGGAAACTAAGACTCTCAGCTTCATTTCCATCACTCATACAACTGCTTTACAAACCTTCCTGGGTGCAATCAAACGATTTTACCTGCGCATTTCCTGCTGTCCATTAATTACCAAACCTTTCCTGGCTCATACACCCCTGTCTCTTGTCTCCTGGTTGCACTGTCAATGAGCTCAGGGGTTGAAGCTTCTGGCCAAGGTGACAGCTGAAGGATTTAGGATTGGATTTACAGGGTTGTGTGCTTACTCCTGAAGGTCCAAGGAAGTTGCTTCCTTAGGAATGAAGACCCTGGCTAACAGCAGAGCTCATTTCTGTCCCTGCAGGACACACAAAGTCTCCTCCTTACTCTCTACTTGCACATTTTGTCACTACAGATTTTGCATCATTTCGGGCAGCAGAGTTTGCACTGCTCAAAATCCCCAAACCACACAACATTCAGCTCTACTCTTGGAACTTAAAACTAAAGAGCTGCATTCACTTCCAGGCTTTTTGTTTTGACCCAAGTTTCACCAGTGCCTTAAAATCCCAGAACGTTTCAACCACTTCTGTGTCTCAAGAATTTAAGCCCCAAATCTGGCGCTGGCCTCTTATTTTGCTTTGTCTGAGAGATGGAAGCAAGCAGACAGGTTGGAAGATTTATCACCTTGAAAGAGCAAGGGGGGAAAAAAGCTGAATACACAAGGATGCCACTTTTCTGTTATTTTATTGATATTAGTGAAGAAAATTCCCAATTTCATCTTTGCGACGTGTTACAATTGCTTTCTCAGGTGGGTGGACAGCTCCTACTGCTTACTTAAAGACTAAATAATACTTCCCAAGTTCACAATTAACTTTCACACTTCAAGTTCTCATAGGGTATTGCTTTCTCCCTCTGGGTAGATATAAAATGGTCCATTAAGTCCATGATTTATTTATTTGTTTCCAGAATCAACTGTTATTCTATCTACTGCTTTAAGATACATTCAAATAAAAAGAGACTTAAATTTTACTTGCAATAAGTGCACACATACAACAGCAAAGAGAGCTGATGACATTGTACTGAAACATTGTAAGTTCATAGAATAAATAGAAGTCTTCAAACACATGCAGCAACTGACCCATGTGTTTTTTTTTTTTTCTTTCTCAAAAAAATATCCTCAGTGCCCACAGCACTACTGCAATAGCTACTTCATCCAGAAAAAAAAAACCCCAAACCACCCACCCATCTCTCGCCACGTAGACTAGAAGACAGATTCATTTATACAAGAAATTATCAGTGCTAATGATTTAGTAACAGTCTGGTACAAATGGCAACTCATGGCAATAATTACGTGTAGTGTCATCACAGGAACACACTGGGAGCTTGACTTAAGTGCCACGAGAAGTGCACGGAAGAGAAAGCAGATGTTAAACCCTCCCCCATTTGCTTCTCTCCATCCACCCTTCCAACAAAATGTGTCTCAGCTCGGACCTAGAAACCAGCTCCCTCCAGTCTCTTCCAGTCCCAGGATATTTCAATTCTTTCTACAAGCACCCAGCAGAAGTTTGGGAGAAACAGAGACCAAATAAAGCCCTGCAATGTAAATGAGGACAGCCTGGCTGTAACTAAAGGTTGTGTGATGTCTTCTGTTTCCTTCCTAAAAAAGCAGGGTCTTGCCTGCTTGGTGCTGGGAGGGAACTTCAGTCTACAGCCACCATGAAATGAAGTGGTTCCCATCGTTTTACCTACGCTGAGGTCCAGCTCTGGATGAAAAAAGAAAACAGAAAATGGGTGGGGGGCTCATCTCACCCTTCTCACAAGGCCATGGTCCTTGACAGGTATGAAACCTGAAGATCAGCATGAGGCCTGCAAGCGGCTCCTTCCAGCTTGTACCATCCCATTACCAAATGGTTTTTGTGGTTCCCAGCTGAGGTTCCAAGGACGTGCCTTTTCCTAACACTGCTTTTGCTACGTGTTTTTGGAGAACATTCTTACCTGTCAAACTGCTCCATGACTCTGACCTGTAGGGAGCTGCTGCCACGTTGACCTCACGAGCTGTGAAAACTCTTTTCTTTGGGGGCACTGACCAGGCCCATCCCAGCAGCAGCAACACACAGTAAAGCCTCTTCCCTTCTACAATCCAGTGCAGCATTGATAAACAAACCCCAAAACCCCAAACCCAAGTGGCACAGAGCATGATGGTGCTGAGGGGCATGGCACTGGCAGGAATAGGTCAATATTCCCAGCACCCAGAGGCCCACTGACCTCAGCACCAGTTCAAGTTTATAATGGGGGGAAGGAGGAGAACACAGGAAAGGAAAAAAAAAAAAAATAATAAAAAAAAATGCTTCATCCATTCAGGTGTAACAGCCAGGCACTCCAGTAACTCAGCTCGACTCATCTACAGAAGCAAAATTCAAGCTACCACATGTTAAACCGAGTGCTTTTTTTGGGCACTGAACGGAGCAGAGGCGCTCCCGTGCTTCAAGTGATGGAACGTGAGGTCTCACACGACACATCCCACAGCTTCCCGTGCACCTTGGGCTCACACCAGGCTACAGAACTCACGTTCTCCTAGTCAAGTTGGTTTTTTGTTGGTTTTGTTCTTTTCTCAGTGCATTTTAGGAAAAAGAAAAAAAACCCCAACGTGAGTTAACCTTAGCACAGCAATGCCAGTGTGGAGCCTTCTGCACTCAGCTGGAAAGTAAAACAATCCCATTAGTTACAATAGATCTGCTTTGTATTTACACGTTTTGTACAAAGTTTACACATTTCTCCCTTTAGGCACGAAGTTGATTTGTCAGACTCACGAGGCAAGGAAGGGGTGGGCGGGGAAAGGAGGAGATGGGAGAAAGAAAGAAGGGGAGCGTTTTTATTTAAAAAGAGGAGCTGTAAAAAGGAAGTCCCTCATCGTAAGCTCGTTTGCTTCGGGAGCTTGGTTCCCATGAGGATCCCCGAGGGGAGAGACGTGGGGCCTTTCATCTGCATGCTGGAGCCCACCATGGTGGGGAAGCTGCGGTTCCTGCGGATGCCAGCGTTCAGCTGCACGCCCCCCATGGCGCTGGTCACGGCGGGGCAGCCCAACGGGAGAGCCTCTGGGGCCAGCCCTCCAGCAACGAGGGCCCTCACCGGCCCCTGGGCCCCGCAGAGAAGAGGTCCCTGCTCCTCAGTCAAAGGAGGAGCCGACGTTTGCCCCGAGCTCACAACTTTGGCGATCCCAAACCTCTTGACTTTGTCCACGAGGTTGAGGTTGGAAACGGACACGTCGGTCTGGCTCTCACTGTTCCTGATGTTCTTTTTGTTCCTCACCTCCTTCAAGATGGAGCTGGCAGGCTTCGAAGCCAAGAAGTTGTCGTAAGGTGGGCTGGTGCACTTGAACTCGAAGGATGGAGGGGACGAAGAGGGCGTCTGCAGAGGGGAGTTGGGGGGGGTGGAAGGGATGATGGCCATTTTCGGGGGGTACGTGCTCAGCAGGGGCCCTCTGCCAGCTCTGTCCCAGCTCTGCGGGTTGTACACCGCCGCCGAGATGCCCCTTTCCTTCAGCAGCCACACCAGCCCCAGCGAGGTGCTCATGGTGGTGGTGGATTCCCGGAGGTTGGTGAAGGACTCGGCCAGGCTCAGGCGCCGAGGGGTGCAGGGGGTAGCCACCGGGGTGCCCTTCAGGTTGCCAAGGCTGCCACAAGCTGGAGTAGGTGCTGCGTTAAGGCTGGAAGCAAAGGAGCAGGCAGATTATTCTCTCCACTTAGGAACCGCAGCGTAGTGCAAGCAAGGTTTTAACCCCAACAGGATCTTTTTTACCCATCTGGAGAGAGCACTGGCAGATCCCAGCTCCATGCAAATGTGTGGCAAGGGGAAAAACATCATCTCCTACAAAACACATCTCTGGACTTTGTGTACTTCAGTCTCCTGGGATTCATGCAGTCATCCCCCCTCATTTCTCCTGATCAGCTTAAACTGGCAGGTTTGTGATCAACACCTTCAGTTTTTCTCCTGATCTACTGGCTGTCACAACTCCCAGTTGCTTCCATAAGGCAAGGAAGCAAGGGGACTTGTGCTTCCAGCCCTGCTGGGTCACAGTAGAGAGCAGGGGAATGTATTTGCTGCAGAAGCATTTGTAGCCAAGCTGGTGGGAGTTGGCACTGTCACCACCATGCACTTCTGTACAGCCAAACCCCCCTTCTGCTGAGTCTGTTTGCATCCATGGGGAAGGAGGGTCTGACTTTGGGGTGAGATGCACACTGGCATGAGCAGCCTAAAGATGTCCCTGCTCCCTGCAGGGGGGGTTGGACCAGATGATCTTTAAAAGCCACCAACCCAAACCATTCCATGATTCTATCAAAAGAGACCACACAGTCATGCTCCTGGTTGTCAGTTGGTCAGTAGGTAACCGACAGCAGCAAACCAAGCACGACAAAGAGCCATTCCACTGTTAATTGGTCAAACGTTAATTTCCAGAGTTTGAAACGTGCCCAACTTGCTCCCCAGTTCCAGTTCTTGCCTCTCAAAATAAACTATGCACAGGTAGTTAACAAGAAAACATTAAATGGGTAATTATCTGCACATTTTGAACAAGTGGCAGATGTGAATCATACTTCTGCTCAGTGCTATCTCACTGGGTTTGGTTTTCTTAACCACACTCCTCTACTTGTTAGGGGTTGGGATTTCTTGAATAGTCACTCTGGGTGACTGTCCCCTCCCTATAAAGTGACCATCTCCATGAACACAGACTCAAGATCCAAAGAATTACCAGCACACAGAAGACAGCGCAAATCCTTTGTGCCACAGGAGGAGACCTCACAGACACCGAGGTTTGATTGTCTCTGGCACTAAATCCTTAAAAGACTTGCCCCACACAGATTAGGGTTGGTTTACCTGTGGGCAATCCCCACTCAAAGCCTCTGGCAGGCCAAGCTATGCCATTCATTGACTAAGTCAGGATTTATTCTAGAAATGAGGCATGTGGGACATCCACAACACCCTATGTCTATCTGGGATAACCCCAAGGGTGCCACGTGCCTTTAAGAAAAAGCTTTCCAACTATTTTTAACCATTATTGTGATTTTTGCCACATTCATACACAGAGAAGTGAATTCCATGTTTCCTAAGCATGGTTTCATCTCCTCCAATGGCATTTAAAGGGTCTCAAAGAACACAACACTTGATGCTAACAGAATTCCCTGACCTGAGAGCTCACCACTGTTCAAGGAAGGAAATCCTGCCCTTCATCATGCCAGGTTAACAAGTAGAAGACACTCAGCAAAGAGTCAGACACAAAACCAAAGCCAATGGCAGAGAGTGGGAAAACTGAGCAGCTGGGAGGGGAGGAAGAGGGCAAAGAGCAGGATCCTCCCAGCAGAGCCACGCTGGTGGATCAGCTCAGCCATTACATGCAACCTTAGCCTCAGCTGGGCTCTCTCTATCCAGAAATTCATCAAAAAGCCAAACTGAGACAAGCTAGTTGGATTTCCAGGCATAGAGAAGTCTCAGGCCAATGAATGATTTGCACCCTTGTTGCCCATATGGACAAAAAGGCCTCGATGGTGTCTTGGCTGCAGTCTCACCCCATGTTAATGAACTCCTGGAAGCCACGACCACGGTGAATGTCAGCTTAGACTGCCTGGGCTGTTTTACTCTGAGCCAGTTTCTGATGAGCTTAGAGCCTTGTCAAACAGCATACAGTGATCAGCTGACACGAGTTAATACAACACCACAAACTTTTGTCCCATGACCTAAAAATCTGCAGTACTTCACCATCTTTCCCTTAATTAAGGAAATATTAGCCTGACATTATGAATTCTCGAGTCACGTCTTCTTTCCATGGCTAAACAGGATCTGGCCAACATCACCCCTACAGTGCTTCAGAGCTGCACCAGTGTCTGAAAGCCACTGGAACTGCCACAGGAGTGTTACCCTGTGGGTGCAAATCACCAAGAGTGGAAAGGGATGTTAGAGCACGATGCTTCTCTGGAGCACTGATTACAGCTGCACCTTCACAGCTCTGCTTCCAGCTCACAGTGGGACTAGAGAGCAGTGAGAGCCACTGGGACACACCTCCCACTCTGGCTAAATACAGAAGGACAGAAGAAGTCTTGAAAAGCATGAGGAAGGGAGAAGAAAGAGAAAGAACTTACTGCGTGGCCTGACTTCCTACAGGGTAGGGCCAAGTACATTTTGGAAGCCCAGACTTAATTCTCAGGCTTCTAAGATGTCCTTCCTAGCCAGGAGATGAAAACTACAGCACTCCAATGGCTTAGTCACTCCAACAGCTTCAGTCTCTCCAGCTCCACATTTCAGTGGCACAGATATTTAGGTGAGTATTATATTTAGATGAGCATTATATTTATTTAGATTACTATTTCAGCTGATTTGCCAGCACAGGTACACACTACAGTGCAGCAGTAATAAAAAAGACATCCCTGCAAGAAAGCAGTTGTTATGTAGGTGTTCCTTTGATCATTTTGGTGTTGCTTGAACCAGGAAATATTTTCCCCATCCAACTGACCAACACCACAGAGCAGCCTGGATACAACCACAGAAACAAACTGGCCTCAGCAACCAAACCCAGTGACAGCTTCAGGGTTAGACTGAGACAAGAAACAAATAAACCAGCACTTTGCTTTGCCAGAAGGAATTGAGTCAGGTTAGAGCATGCCCTGGGTTAGAGGCAAGGTTAAACCACGACCAGGCAGGGCAGTCCCAGTGCTGCTCACCCTGGGTCACAGTGGGTGCCCTACACCTCCTCCCAGCACCACCAGACACAACGCAGCCTCCTCGTCCTCCTCACACGACCTGTGGAGAATCATTTGCAGTTGGTGAGGAGGAGCTCCTTCAATGCATCGGCTGGAAACAAGGGGCTCATTTTGCTCCTTCTCCTCTGGGATGAATGAGGAACTTGGGTGTAACTAAGGCACCTGGAATTGTACTGAATCCAGCTGTCAGTCATGGCTGAGCTGTTAGATGCAGTAACCAATGTAATCGAGGAGTTTCTGATGACCAAAATTAACAGCAATTGAGCAGTAGTAAGAAAATGAAAATAGAACTGCAGCTATATCAAAGGATCTCTTCACTCAGTGTTGAGAGAGGAAGACAGAAGAAAGTGAAGAAAAACCAGCAAGGCCATGGTTAATTTTGTTCAGCGGAGGAAGCAGAAGAGCTACACTTCATCACTATCTGCTTCCTTTCCACTTCCTAGGTTTTCCTTACTTTCCCTTTTTCCCTTACTTTCCAGGCATTCCTTTGGCAGCCTCTCTCATGTCTAAAGCAGCCCAGACACATCACCTCTGAGCAGGGGCACCCAGAGCCCTGCACTCCCACACAGGAGCTGGGCACAAAGTCAGGAGCATCGTCCTTCCTGGCACAACAAACACTCTTTAAATACCACTTTAAGGAAGGGAAGATCCTTCTTTAGGCATGAAATTCACTCACCCCCTCTGCTTCTCAGCTCTTCACCTTCTAAAAGGCCCCAGAACTGCCTTCCAACAGCACGTGCCCACTGCTGTTACTAAACCAGCTCGTTGCCTTCAGCCTGGCTACGACAAACTCACCCCCAGCAACTGCACCAGGGCACAAAGTGGATGGCTCCCTGCTTTTCACTAAGGCACATTCCCTCCTCCCTTCCTCCCTGCAGCTCACCTGCCCATCCCCTCCTTCTCCTCTGCCAAAGATTTAGATTTCTCCTCCGTGGAAAAATACTGCTATTATTTTTTCTTAAGACACCACATTCTGTGCATTTACACCCGAGGACTACAACTCGTTTGGGACCAAGGGCAGTCAGGTTTGGACATTGAAGCCAACTTGGTTACATCTGATCCTGTAACATTCTCACAGAAGTCATTCAATGTAGCTTGGTTGGCTTTCCAAAACTTCACGCATACCTCTCAAAAATCAGGCTGGGGTAACTCGGAATGGGAAGAACCCTTTGGGGGTGGGCTGTAATTTGCCAGTGCTTCTATTTATGCCCTTCCTTTGCATTTCCTGAGAGGGAAAGCTCTGGCAGAGGCAAGCACCCTGCCATGGTGGGGAGCCCTTACCTTGGCGTGACTCGAGTGAGCTCATCGGAAGGGTGCAGAATGCGGCAGGTGGTGAAGGTGAAGGTGGAGTTGGTTTGTGACATGCACTTCCCAGGATGAGGTACTAAATTAAAAAAAAGCAAATTCTTGGCGTTTTACACAGAAAAGGGGAAAACTCAACTTCTGTGTGCTAAGACAGATGCCAGAAGGGATGAGGTACCCCAGAGAGGATCAACATGAGAGAAGTGAAACACAGGAGCGCTGCAGCGTCCTCAGGGACACTTGTTCTCCAGAACAAACACATCAGGACTCTGGGGCTGGTGCTAGAAGGCTCTGCTGAAGCTTCCCCGTGGTTGCTAACGCTGCATAAAAGTCTTACTCAAAGCCAATTTAGGGAAGCAGTGCTCAGAATGCTGCTCCTCACCTCAACCAGCAGCTTCCACCGGTGGGGAACCACGAGCAGCATCTTCTAGCACCAGCTCAGGAGCACTAAGATATTTCTGAATGCTCGTGCACTCCAGCTCTCTGATTGATCCACAAAAAAGGTTTCCCCATCACTTCTCAGTAGTGGATCCAGCTTGCTAATGCTACAGGGATACAGGTTGTCGGGGTGGGGAGTGGGACAGACACACGTTGCTGTTGGCCTCTGACTTCTCACGCCCACAGGAAGGGCAGTGGTGGGTTCTGGATCCACTACTGTACATCTGTGACATCTCTCTTGTGAGTGTGCTCAGGTTCTTTAAGAACAAACGTCCTCAGCTGCACAACACAGCAGGTTTTGGATATTTGTAAATAGTCTAGGAAATAATTTTCCCCACAAAGGCGGCTGTAAAGTTGCCACTCTCAGCCTACCAGTAAATTTGGGAAAGAAGCAACACAGCTCAGCTTCAAAACTGAAGGACTTAGGCCAATTTCTTTTTATTTAGTAGAGATGCTTCTGTGGCTACACTAACCTGCTGTATAAGGCAGCTGTGGCCACTGCAAAACAACTACACAATTCAAGAGCCATGCATCTGAAAAGCTGATTGAAACCCACCCAGAGTTAAACACCACGTGAAAGGCATCATGACTGCACAAGGTTCTCTCAGTCACCCAACTCAGCAGTGGTCAGAAGACATGCACAACACAACTCATGTGCAGCCCCCTCCCCCTCAGCCCTACCCCACCCCCTGAGCCCCTCCCTGGTGAAGCCACAATTTAACACACAAGGATTGAACACATGGCAGAGGACAGACCGACTAGACCAGACACCACTCTGAGCTTCCAGAGATGCTGAGCAGAAGCAAGGCCAGTCTTAACCGTGGCTGTGTTCCCTGCTTGCTCTACCAGGTGCCACAGCTCCAAACCAGTGCGTGTGCTGTTAGGTGGTCCCTTCAGGGCACACAGGGGAGCAGCGTGTGGGGGGCAGAGCGTGGGCAGGGTGGGGGGTGGCAGCAGAAGTGGCTGAGCACACAGCGGGAGGTCACTGCCCCCCAGTGCTGGGATGCACCCGCCGTCTGCTCCAGAGGAATCTGCCTAAAAACCCCACTGGAGCCTGGTGTTGAGGCACCCCAACCAGCACGGTGTCACACAACGAGCAGCTCCACTTCACCTCCAGGGATGGTGACTGGGAGGCCTCGGGAATCCGGCTGCTTTAGAGGTTAGTGGCAGCACTACAAAAGCTACTACAAGGGAGCACAGCCTAGCAATCATCTCTCCGTGTTGCAGAGAGTTAAAAGGCAATCTGGAGAAAGAGCTTGAGTAACTGGACGTGGAAAGATGGGTTATTTAGAGAGAACACAGGACTTCAGCATAAATCAGAAACAAAGCCATTATCCCTGGCTGACGACCAGAGAGGGGCAGAAAGCGATGCTGGATAAGCTCCACCCCAAGCCCAGAGCTGCAGCACAAGGAGGGCACCTCTCCCCAGCTGCAGGGTCCACTGGGCATCCCCTCAGGCTGGAAAGAGGCAGGCTGCAGGGACAGAGCTGCATCAGCACAAGCCAGACTCATCGCTGCCGATGAGTCACAGATAGGAGAAGGCTGCTAAAAGGAGAGAAACCACTCGCTCTAATCAGAGGCAGCAAATGGGAATCAGTGTTTTCCAAATCAGTAACTCAATTTCCAAGGACGTATTCCACCCTCCAATACCACTAAGAAAGTCTTGTACCAGCATCATCCTCCATCAGTCACCAATGGGGTGTATGATATTGCTGTAGCACTTTCCATCCTTTGGAATCTCACCAAGAGAGTGAGAACCTGGTGCTGGAAACGAACAGAGTTTGTCAAACAGAAACAAAACCATGTCTTCCTAACCTAGGCATTTCACAGAATAGTGCCCGTATCCTGAGTTGGCAGACATTTGTGAGGAAGCAAGACATAAGTTTACCACGAGAGAAGCTTATTTTCACAAAGTAGTGAGTATTTTGAATATAAAAATCTGCTCCGTGTGACTGCGTTCCAAACGTTTTATTTAAACCCCCTTTTTTTCGAAGTAGGAGATGGTTAACAGTGAGCTTTGTATCTGTGTGAAAAAGAATCTGTACATCATTCAGTGTTTAACAGATTTTAAAGAAACATTATGGAATTTTAGCCACCAGGAAAACAAAGTAAACTGTGTGTGCATATTCCCCCTAATTTAAAATTCAAGCTAACCCTTAGATTGCTGCTGGATCACACTTTGTCTCTCAGTCATTAATGATGTTTCACCTCATTAAGCTCTCTCAAACAATCCTTAGGTGTTTTGGAAAAACATTATAGCTGGAAGAGCCTCTCCTATAAGCACCAACATTGTTGTAAAAACATCTAAAATACTGCAAAACCTCCTAAAAGCAGGTGCTAGTCAGTGTGCAGGGAGCTCCACCTCCTGGTAAACCAGAGCTTTCCCACCCGAAATACAAAGAGGATTTATAAAGCCCAAAGCTGATTTATAAAGCCCAAAGCTGATTTATAAAGCCCAAAGCTGATTTATAAAGCCCAAAGCTGTTTCAGCACCAGCTTCAGCACTCAGAGCTTCTGCCAGGTGCAAACAGCAAACAAAATGTGCTTAGGAAGCAGGTGGTAGTCAAACAGTGTGCAGGGAGCTCCACCTCCTGGTAAACCAGAGCTTTCCCACCCGAAATACAAAGAGGATTTATAAAGCCCAAAGATGATTTATAAAGCCCAAAGCTGTTTCAGCACCAGCTTCAGCACTCAGAGCTTCTGCCAGGTGCAAACAGCAAACAAAATGTGCTTAGGGCACAACCTTCTGCTCAGGGGACCCTCTAAGGACCCTTTAAGGTGGATTTTCAACCAGCTTGTGCAGAGAAAAGTACAAAGTTACAGCAGGTAAGCTAATGGTTGGCCCCATCCACAAAAAGGAGTCAAGGCAAATGGAGTTTGAGGAAGATGTGTAAGAGGTATCTGTGCTAAGATACCATGAACTCCTGTGCTTCTGGTTCCAAACTCAAATGTGCTGTATATGCCAGAGGAGCAGGGAGGGTGCAGAGAGCTCACAGCAGCCAGTAAATCTTTGCATTTTATCTGAACACCTATTCTGGCAAATAGAGAAGGTTTGTGCAAAAACTAACTTAAAAAAAGAAATCAGAAATCTTCAGAGAATGATTTGATGCAGACTGGCACAAAGGCAAGGGTTTGGTGCAGCTCTGGATCAAGCCATGCTGCTTCTCATTTCTTTGGCATGTTTGAACAAAAGGAGGAAACCTGGTTCTTTCAGCAGAGAGCAGTGGAATTTGGGCATCTCTTTAGCACAGGCTGCTGAGACAGGGATGGAGTGACAGGCTGGGGAGTCCTTAGAGCAATGTTTCAAAGCATTGAAGTTTATTTTATTGCTGAATAGAAAAAAAAAGCTCAGCCTGCTTTGGAAGAGGACAATGAAGGACCATCAAGAGGCACTTTCTTTCTCCAGTGTGACCATTCAATCTATGGACTTCACTTTTGCCCATCAATGCCACCAACTCTATCACTAGACAAGGTGAAATTCCCCAAAACTAGGTCACTAAACCCCACGAGGGTCCACAGGACAAGAGAGTTTTCATGTCCTCTCTAAATTTAGCAGAGTTCAGCCCTTCCAGGTGACTAGAGGTGGGAGCTCTGACACCCAGTGCTACCTGCTCTCAACACTCCATGCTGACAGCACAGGAGAGTACAGGGGCTGCTGGAGCTGATGCCAGAGTTCAACACTGCAGAGATGGGGGGTTAACACAACAGTAAGATGTGGGCATGGTGCTCTCCTAAAGGTGTTCAGTGCCTTCAGATGTCCTCCAGAAAACAGTCAGAATGTCCTTCAGGAAACACTGGCTTCAGGGGTAACCACAAATGCTCAAAGCCTCCAGAAATTCTCATGTCTATGCCAAGAACACTCCCCCTGTTACATTTCATAACCAACTGGCAGTAAAATTATTTTGTGAATCTCTGCATTCCCAAACTTGCCATTTGTTTTGCCTTTGGAAACAGCAAGGGATGAAAAACTGAACCAAGGCAAGTGTTCTTTGGACTGGATTTTTTTTAGCTTTCTTCTGGGTGAAGTCTCCTCCTCTTATGTGTATAACCATAGAGCACAGATGTAGAAAGAAGTCTTCAGTGTGGCTTCAGAGTTTATGGAGGCTAGGATCCCCAAAATTAAAATTCTAGCATTTTAACAGCACAATATAGTACAAATAGCAACTGCTGACAGACTTTTTCTTAAAGAAATAATTGCTGTGAAATGTCTATGCTGTTGGAAAATGAAATACATTTAAATATGCATCGATACCTCCGTTCTAAGAAGTTACAAAATTTATTGCTTTTCTGTACAATGGTAACCTCTTAGAAGCACGTTTAGTAATCCTGCTAAAAACAACTCAAACATAAGACATTCATGATGTGGTTTTGTGATTTTAGGCACCTATTTGGAAAGGCTAAGGTCTAAACACCAAGTGCAAGAGTGTTGATCCTGTAACGCCGTGGTGAAGGCAGTGGAACTACCACACACAAGTACTGACAGACCAGGTTGTGCTGCTGAATCAAGCACAGCCCCTCCAGCTTTAAAATAACAACATTCACAACATTATTAAGTGCTTTCAATGGCTTGAGGTGTTTTAAGGGAAACCTGAGAAGCAATGAATTAAAAAAACCCAAAAAAAACAGAACCAAACCAAACAGCCCCAACAACTCCTCCCCTCAGAACAGATGCTGTACAGTTTTATAATATACTACAGTTTCTTTCAAAGAATAAAACAATATACACTGAGGTTATGAAAACCTTGTGCTGCAAGAATTAGTTCTCCTAGATGCTCTCCAGAGGAGCAATGGCTGCACAATATTTAAATACAAAATAAATTCATAAGCTAAGCAGACATCCCTGCTCCCAAAAGATTGTGGAGGTTGTGGATCATACAATCACAGAACGGTGGAGGTGGGAAGGGACCTCTGGAGATCATCTCATCCAACCCCCCTGCTCCAGCAGCTCACCCAGGGTCACATCCAGGTGGGTTTGGGATCTCTCCAGAGCAGGAGACTCCACAGCCTCTCTGGGCAGCTGCTCCAGGCTCAGGCACCCTCACAGGGAAGAATTTTCTCCTGCTGGTCAGATGGAACCTCCTGGGTTCCAGTTGGTGCCCGTTGCCCCTTGTCCTGTCGTTGGGCACCACTGACCAGAGTTTGGCCCCAGCCTCTTGCCCTCTGCCCTTTAGATATCAGTAAGAATTGATCAGATCCCTTCTCAGGCTTCTCTTCTCCAGCTGAACAGCCCCAGGGCTCTCAGCCTGTCCTGGCACAGAGATGCTCCAGCCCCTCAGCATCTTTGTAGCCCCCACTGGACTCTCTCCAGTAGCTCCTTGTCTCTCTTGAACTGGGGAGCCCAGAACTGGACACAACAGTCCAAATGTGGCCTCACCAGGGCATTTGTATATTTTATCTTTTGTATTATTCCCCTGATCTTTATATATATTATTTTCCTTACCCCCCTTTTTCGTTTTCTGTTCCTTGTTGAACAATATACTTCATTTTTTTAAAAAAAGTCTCTCTCTCTCTCTCTCTCGAGGGGGTGGGGGAGAGGCGAGTACATAGTTCTGTTCCGTGTGGGTCCTGCCCTGAACCCCTTTTTACACGGAACCAGGACAGCTGGCCACACTCTTCTTCACACACTCCAAAATACCAGATCCGAAGTATGTATTCCATAACATATTAAAGTTAATCAGCAAACAATACAAGATGAACTAAAATTACTAAGATGATTTCAGAGAATTTCTCTTTTGCTGACTTATAAGGTAGGGAATATGCTTAAAAACCTTGTCTGAGAACTAGAGTTTCCCCAGGCAAAATCAGCAGTAAAAAAACTGAAGAGATCTGAAGAAGTTCTGATAATTTTCTGATTCTGCACTAAATATAATTCTTTACCAGTGACAAATCTTACTGAAGACTAACATTCCTTGTAACACAGCTTATTAAAACAAAATACTCCTTCAAAAATAAAACAACAACAAAGAAACACACAAACTCAATCCACATCTACAGCCTGAGAACCTGTATCCTTGTGCAACAACAGACTGCAAATGGCAGTTGGGAGTATCTAAACTCGTGTAGTCACCTTGAAATGTTTAAGTCTTCATATGGTATCAATAGGAAGGACAGAATTTAATTGTGTGGTGGAAAGGGAAGGAGGGAAATGTCATTACCCTCTGCATAAAAACATCCTCTTAATTCTTTATCTCAAAGGGAATTTAAAACCAGGTAACTTTATCTGAGGTAATTGAATTAAACTCGTGGAATTTCTTGATCTTCAAGACACTTCCATTTGTTTCAGCAAAGGCAACTTTGATGCACCTTTTGTCATCATTTAGTCTTTGGTTTTTTCCCCACAGCACAAAAATCTAAAGCATGGCATCACCTCCTATGAACAGTCATAAAAATATGTGGGCTATAGGCATACAAAATATATATCATCTATACATTCTACACACTGAAGAGCGTGCACTGAAGACACATACAAGTTGCAAATGTGCCACACAGTTTTGTGAATCAACCACTTCCTTTTAGCAGCCTTCTCTTATCAATATAGAGTAAAATATTGACCACAGATGCTGTTACTGAAAAAAAAAAAAACAACCACCCCAAAAAGTCAAATTAAAAGATTATTAAGGCAAGTTGTTTTGTGTTAGAACGGTCACGCTGTGGCTCCTGCACGCGCTACCGTGCAGAGGCTACACACAAAGCAATACTATGGATGCTGTTCTGGAGAGATGTGAGAATGGCCCAGTAATCAAAATCCTGTAAAGATGTCAGTTTGACTGGACTTAAGGAGTTTCCCTCACCAGACCCCTCATCATCGTCCGTCGCGGACTCCTGCATCTCCTCTGGGATAGCCTGAGATGGGCGGGGGTTATTCTTGCTGTCTGAAACAGTCACTTGTGCTTGGGACCTCTCACCTGAGGTCTCTGTGTGCTGAACTGGCGTCGAGGTAGTTAGGCCCTTGTAAGAAATGTCACCTGTCTCATCTTCCTCATAGTCATTAAGGCAGTACACTTCATCCAGGTCCAGGTCCAGGGTCCTGAAGCCCTTAGTGACAACCCCGGGCCTCGGGTCCAGGATCCCACCCAGGTGAGGCTGAGCCAGCTGCTGCCAGTGGTGCAAAGTGGCAGAACCTTGAAAGGGAACAGAGAGACAACCAAAATAAATCAGTAAGCAATCCAGGACCTAAAAAGGCAGAAAATCCCCCTCTGTTTATCTAGAAGACCACAGGTTTGGGAGCTCCAAAGCTTTAAGGTTTCTGGGTTGAAAGCAGAACTGCCTCACCAACTCTTCAGCATTTCCACATCACTGGGAGATCAGCCAATCACATCAGCACCTCCACAGGCAAAGCCTGGTGGAAAGATGTGGGATATACCTGTGCACGTGCCCAGCCCCTCCCCACCCTTATCCTCATCCCCTCAAATCCATGGGATTAGGCAGGAAGAGAAAGAATTGACATTTAACAGTGGATCTGAGAGGAGCACACACCACATGGTCCCACATTCAGCTCACACTAAGAAAGGTGCTGAAAACATGCCAGAATTTGAATCCTGGTGGCTAAGAGGAGGAGAGTAGATTGCACAGCAATGTCAGCTCCCTGCCACAGCCCAGGAAGCCACACCAACTTCAGGGAACACTTCTGACCTACACACCAAGGCTAAATGGCCCCTATCTGAGCCCCTACACTACAGGAACTCAACTACTAGGTGACTAAATGCTACTGTACCTGTAGCTTCATCCTTGGTGGGAAAATGTGTGTGAGGAGAGAGGTGCATTTTACAGAGAAAAGCATTCAATATTCAATATTCAGTAGGAGACAATGAGTCAGAAACAGCAAAGTATTGAGTTCAACGGATATAGACACCAAGGTGGGCCCACTGAAATTGGGAGGAGCTACTGGATTCCTCAAGTAGAGATTAAACACTGCTGACAAGGACCTATATTTATGTCCATCAATCACTAGTGTGTTGTAATGTGACTTAAAACTACACATCCCAGGTCCTAGGCTACAAATAAACCACCTCTGGCAGCTCCCACCAGAGAAGTCCTTGTTGTCTTGCTCCTGTCCCCCCTCCCCAAAGCAGAATACACTCAACAAGGTGGCCTACAAACATCTCACCAGCATTCAAAGACCAAGAATGTTCAATTCTTTGAGCAGCAGATGTGAAAATCTAAACCACTGTAACAACTAGGGAAGGGAGGGCTCACATAAATTATTTTGTATCTGAGAAAAATCCCATGGAAGGAGAAAAACTGTCATTTTGCAATAAGGATGAAAAAAGGGGAAGAGTCTTAAAGATAAGGGGAAGAGTCTTTCTTTAGAACTGCTGGGATCAGTGAGAAACATTTTAATTAAGCCTATCTCACTTATAAATCTGTAATTTTTAGCTCAGAATAAATGGATCTGCTAGATTCCTTTGGATAATGGCCCTAGCTTTTATTTTTTTTTTTCTTTTAGTTAAAGTAAGTTGAGGGACTAAGGAGGATTTGCACCCTTTAGGCTCATGTAAGTAGAAAATGTTGCAACCCCTAAATAAATACCTGTATATATATAACCCTATAACTTGTATTTATTTCTGAATTGTCACAAAGGTCAAGTTTTTTGCTTCTAATATACAAGAAATATTCCAGAATGTGGAGCAGTGCCAGATAATGTCAAATCTTTAGCAAGGAGTAGAGCTTTGCTGTACAACAACCACAAAAATGAACAACAGAACCCCAAATTTCTTCCTGTGCTGCCTGCCAGTATAAAACCCTGTTGCTAATTAACTTCTCCATGCAAGCTTCTCAAGATGTTATCTTTTTCACCTTAAACCTCACTGGAACTTATACTCAGAAAAACTCTGCAGAGTATAAAAAATTAATTCATAACATCTTTCCATAGGAATTTATATATTCACCAGAACATATCAGATGCACCAGACATAAGACATGCACCAGATATAAGATAATCACCAGAATATCTCAGTTTGAGCTTTAAAATTTCTATGGAGGCTGCATGTTATTCATTTTTTTTGGAAACTGGAACACAAAGTGTCACCAGATATAAGCTAATCACCAGAATATCTACATTTTGAGCTTTAACATGTCTATGGAGGCTGCATGTTATTTATTTTTTTTTGGAAACTGGAACACAAAGTGGCCAAAGTTTCATCACACAAAGAGGGACCTCTGAGTTTAACCCTCATCTCCTAAAATGTGTGTAAAGGACCCACCTTTGCATACAGAAAATTAACACAGATGCAGAAAGCAATGCAACAGTTCTAAACTCCTTAGATTAAAATAAAGCCACAAGATGAGATATAAAAGTAAAGTATGTACAATAATGGAACCTGGTTTTCTGCTCCTGCTATCTGCATGATCACATCTGTACTATGGGGGTTAGAGAAAGTTTAGAAATTAATGACCTGTTGCTGTCACCGTTGCAATAAAATGGGTGAATTTCTGTGCTTCTGTGATTCTTAGTGCTTCTGTCACCCTATTTGTTCTGCTGTGGGATTGGAAAGATTGCTTTAAGGGAGCAGAAGCCAGTCACCCAAAATTTATTATAGAACTGAGTTTTATTTCTTCCATTTTATGGTATGAACACCCTTAGGAAAAGAGTAATAAAACCAAAGGCACAACTCCTGCTAACAGTCTGCAGGTACAGCAGATTATTTTGCCCCCATGGTCTGAAAGTATCCATGAGGTTGAAAAAGCATAAATAATAAATTTCATGAAAAATACTGGGGAAGGGAACTGAGCTGAAGTGAGGGACAGAATCATAAACAGGTATCCAATAAAAGATAATACCAAACTTATGAGACAGGTAGACACAAACATACCACAAATGAGATCTAAACCCAAACATGAGAGATATTTGAAAAGGTGCAACAATTTTAAGGAAAAAAAAAAATAACCCAGTGAGAACAATGAACAAAATCAGGAAAAAAAAACCCAGACAGATAGAAAGAGGATAAAGACTTTAAGAGTTTATTGGAAGAAAAAAAGCAGATATAATGGGATGGTGACAGAAATCTATTACAGTGGTAGCAACCAGTAACTGAAACAAAGCTGGATAGTCCCCCTTGCCTCCTGTGGTACAAGAATTTTTATGATTTTTAAAAGCAGCCATGAAAACAAACTACTAAAATCTGCTCAACAGTGAGGACTTGTGTGCTATGGCTAGAGTTCCATGGGGATAGGCAGATGCAGCACATGACTTTCTTCAGGACACAAGAAAGGTTATTTTTCCTTGTGAATGTGTAGTGCTAAATGTTGCTTACATAGGAAATAATTTATTCTAAAAAGATGGAGAAAAGGGAGCTTTTGCAATTAAAACACACAGACAATGTCATGTAACATGAGAGTTCTGTTAAAGGAACTGAGAGAGAAACCAGAACTAAGTCACCTAATGTATCTGTGAAGTACTATGGGAAAACAGCCTCCTTTTGTTCAAAACCTGAAGGATTTTCCTCAGCTAGCTTCCAGCAACAACCCCAAAGGACTGCAGAAAGCCAGGCAGGCCAGGCTACACGTGCCCCAGCAGCTTTGTTAGGTTTTGAAACAAAGCTCCAGCCCTGACTACCATCTACCTATATCTTCCCTTTTTCTGAGACAATATAGGGAAAATAAGCCCCAAACTATTTCACACATGAAGTGCAAAGCCATAAAGACCTGCATGTGGCCACTCAAACCAGCCAATTAAAGCCCAGAGATCATATTTAATCCAGGAAATAATCTTATAAGACCACCTGGATGACTTGAAGTAGGTAAAGGTCTTTCCAGACGCTTATTTACAGACTTGAGATTTGACGAAGGAATATTCTTGCTGGTTAAATTTCAGGTTCTCAACCACCTTCCTTATCTAAGTATGCCACAGAAACATGGGGATTGAGGTGAGGAGTAAAGCTGTGCTGCCAATGCACGTGTGGCCTGTAGTCTTTATTTTACCTGCCTTGGCTGCAATTGTTTCCTAACACTTTTAAGGCTCGTGGAAAAATGTAGTAGTTAGAAGATTTCAAACCAACAGCGTGGATTACTGTCTCTAAAGTAAAAAGAATATGTATTGCAAAGATTTCCTGCTTTCTGGTGATGGATAAGGGACCACAAAGAGTCACTAAGAAGAACAGATAAAGGCCGAGGCCCTTTGTTATCACCTTCTAGTGGTTTCACAATCTGAAGCTTTTCTGGCAGGTAGGAGCGGCCGCTGATAGACATCCCCGAATATCCAGTGAATTCTGAAAACCTGGAGTGAGTTCCCAGGGACATGATGCTCTCTGTGGGGGTCACGGAACCACTGTGGAGTTCCCCCTTCTCTGCCAGCTCCCGCAGCTTCCTTTCCTGCTCCTCTTCAAAGAACTTTCTCTCCGAGAGGTAATTCTCCCTGCGGAGGGACAGCCTGCGCAGGGCAGTCTCCAGGTCGCTGGAGCCTGGGGTCCCTGGAGTTCCAGGCTTCTTCATCCTGTCTTCATTGCTAAACCACAACAGGGGACACACACACCACACAAAAAAAAAAAAGGGAGGAAAAAAAGATTTCTTAGAGATGCTTAGGACTTCCACATGGCAATTTTGAGACATTGACCAATACCTTTTAAAGTTTTATGTCTGGGAATAACTTGCTACTCGTCCACAGAGCTCAAAGGCAAACATTGATGTTTTCTTTCTCTTTCCTACTAAACCTGATTTGAATCCTAGGTCCTGCCTGGGAATTCCTGGTTGGTAAAGCTGCACTTTACTTAAGAGCTTCCTCCTACAAAGAGAGGAGAGATGTCTCCTTGTTGTGTGCCTCTTACAGCTGTACAGACTCAAGTAAGCAGCCCACACCTTACAGGGCTGCAGGAATATCACAGTGAGTCACAGGAGTATGTTATGCTGACAAACATTCATTCTTTTGAGACACAAAGTGGGTTTTATTGGAAAGTGTACACAGCATAGCGTGGAGCTGCACTGGAGGAAGAGACAAGCAGCTAGGGGAGCAAAGTTCTGACTGGATCCATTCACAAGTTTTCATATGAGGTCACCTACACACACCCACACACACTATTTATTTTTCAGGATGAAAAGAGTGTAGCTGTAGCTTCAAACTCCCTGGCAACATCATCTATAATGTGTCTCAGAGAAGGCCTAAGTTGCAGACAGGGGGTCCATGGTACTTTCAAAAAGCTTTCCTTTTTAAATAACCTTATAGAATCTGTTAGG